GATACTTCTTCGAACTGAATCCCAGAGGTATCGACCGACTCGGGGCCCCGATGACCCGGCTTGCATTGCGCCTCAAACACGGCGCGAAATCCAGGACTGCACAACGGTGGCACCAAGCTGATGAACCTCGGCATGAATCGCAGCGGGAGGTCTCACGCGCGTGGCCCAGTGATCCAGAGACGGACACGCCACTACCGGTCTGCCACTCACCTAACTTGGTGAAACTCCCCCTCTTCTGACAACCTCATAACGCTGTCGAAAAATAACACCGGTTTTACACTTCGATGCTGAGAGGAGCAACCTCTCCCCTCGGTGATGAAGCAACACGAACGCCCCTCGTATCTAACCTTTGACAGGCCGTCCTCCTGCACCACCCGTGACCGTCAGCGTCTCCGTCACACAAGGATGACGGGCTGTGCTGTGATTAATATCAACCCGTGTCTCTAGCACTCTGCATTGCCGAGCCGGTCTCTGTCTGGTCTCTGTCTCTCTCACTGTCTCTGTCTCTTTCTATGAGTACTTATTAGTTCAACCCCGTCCTCAACCACCACGCGGCATGCCAAGGTCGAGCAAACCAAAGCACCAAAGGGCATAGCATGCATGTGAGCCCACGCCGCCGTGCCCGCACTGCTGCATCTCGTACAACGAACTTCCCCTTATTGTCTCGTGTGCCTGTCGGACACAGTACTCTCTGTAACTCTCACGTGGGAAATGGTAGCGGAAGATACCAAGACGACGGGCCGCGGCGAGTGCTTGGCGTCGGGTCTCTGCCGGGCCTCATTGAGAGGCACGCGCGCTTCGGAAGAAGAGGTCTCGGGTCTTGGGGGTTGGAGATGACACTTCGAGATTCTATGACTACTCAACGATAGACACGATACCGCTTCTTCAGCACAGCCACCCCCGATCCTGTCCCTTGCATTTACATCTGACGGCGACGGCTGGGGGTAGAGCGAAAAAGACACAAAAACCTCTCACGAGCCTCTTCAACCCCCATCAACGTCGTGAAAACCCAACCGCCAAGCGGGGGGGATAAGACAACGGGAGAAATCACGTCATTGATCAAGAATTCTTTCCCGACGTCCTTCTAACAGCTTCTTGTTTGGGCGTGCTCGCATGGGGACCTCGTCGCTTCTTCATAGGTGATGCGTGGTGATCCGGGTTCGCGTGAAGGGTCCAGTTAAACACTTGCCTATTGAAGAGAGCTACCTACCCCAATTGGGAAGATCATAACGAAGCAGGACAAGCTCCAACGCCCGCGCTTGTGCAGTCTGCCCTTCGCGCGGATTATAGCTCATCAGCAACTGCTTTTTTGACTTTGTTAAGCTGTAATGCACCCCGCTTCCCTGCAACGTCCGTCAGATCTTTTTCTGCTGCTGTGGAAAACTTCAACATCAACAACCTCACCCCTCAACATCACATCTCACACGCCCCCCAACCCTACCCTTTTCCGAGCCCTTCTTGTCAACCTCCAACGTCAACCCACTTGGTCTCCACCGCCAGAAGATGAAGGGATTCTTGCATCGATCCTCAGCACGCAAGCCAAGTACAGTACACTACATGTGTCAGCGCCGGGCAGGGGATACCGAGGAAAGCGGGATGGTCCGCGTGTGTCGACCCGGAACCTAAGTACCGTACCGTACCCGGACCCGTCCCGATATCGTGAACTTCCCGTCTGAACGAAAAACACACAACCAACAACCCCCACGTTTTCCATCCCGTGTTCCCGAATGTGTGTCCTGCATCATCATCTTCTAAATCTTCTTTTTTTTCTTCTCTTCCCTTCTTCCCTTCCTTGGCGGTATGACACGCCACGATATGACGCGGCTCGCATGCCCTTCGTGATAATCCCCGTTCAATGTGAAGGAGCGCAGTAAGCCAGGCCAGGTAGGTAGGTGTCTAAGCTAGCTAGGCTACATCTACAAGGGGAAAGCTTCGAGAACAAACAAGCACACCCCCCTACCCTAGCATCCCATGCCCTTCGCTCCCTGTGTTGCCATGGCCGCATACCGCCACCTCGCAAGCTTGACCAGCTTCGTTGCACTTCTTTGATGGAGGTCTTGGTCTTGTGTGTCTTGTGCTGTTCATCACCGGTTTCTCAAACCAGGCCAAGCGGAGCTAAAGGCAACGCCCAGGTCGCTTGCTTGTAGACAAACAGACCAACGTAGGCAAACAAATGTACCTAGCTGTTCGACATAAACACAATTAGCTTTTGCCTTGCCACGGCAAACTGACATACTTCCATTACAAGACAGACCAGTCACAAAACTACATTCTCCCACCTAACATCCTTCCTTCTTCTCCATCATCTTCTTGAACCAATCTTCAAGTAAACATCCCGTATCCCGCATCCCGTACCCGTATTCCGTGGCCCGTATGTACATACCTCCCCAGGTCCCGGGGCGCGGGACCCGCGGCATGGCGTTATCAGGAACTGTGACTCTGCCCTGCAAGGGCGGGGGACCACCACCGCCGCCGTGCTGCGAGGCACGGATGGGAAGCTGGCTCACTGGGGACCTGGGAGGCTGGCCCACCACTAGCGTACCAGTACCAGTAATCACGTAGGTGGGAAGATGTGGGAAGATGTGGGATGTTTGATGTGGGACGGAATGTTTAGATGTCGGTTGGGATGTTCTGGATGGGGTCTCGGGATGTGAGTGGATGGGTGGGACTGCTGAGCAGTGAAGAAAAATGTTGAGATGCCGAGCGATATCGTGATGAGGGCGGGCGGGGGTCAGATCGAGGATCCTTGAGATCCCGCCCGCTGTCATTCATGGACGGGTGAATGCCGATGGTGTGTGTGGATGCGGGAGTGAGTGTGGATGTATGTGGGTAGTTAGTTGAGAGGAAAAGGTAGGTGGATTTGTGGTTTTGGTTTTCGGGGCTTGCTCCGATCGGTTTGAGCGAGTGTGGCGAGTCAAGAGTGGAAATATCTGGCTGCATTCGGGAAGGAATTGGAAATCGAATAAGGGGCAGGTGTTTCATAGAGACAGAGCTAATTACTGAGTAGAATGAATACGGAACTACCGGCTTGGGTGAGAACCTGGAAGGGTTTGACCTTCTAGTTCTGTCGATACATACATGTACACAGGGACAAGAGGCGAGTACTTCTTGGTCTGGGTGCTTTGGGATCACGACGTGGGAGGGCCAGAAGAGTGAGATGACCCCAGTCGCGAGATGGAAATCCTCTCTGCTACCAAGATCGGGTTCCTAAACCGCCACGGCCTGGCCGTGGGTCCTACATTTCCCCTAGGATCAATAATCATGGTGAGACACTACCCCAGGGACGAACAACATGGTTTCGATCAAGGGTCCGTTATCGGGCGAGAATGCTCGGGTTCGGGTAGGGCGATGTCTTGAGTTTGTTGGGACATGGCGACGTCTCCCAGATGGATACTCCGTCCTCGACCAGTTCTCGAGCAGAAGGTCTTGGGTGGGGTTTCTCTTTGCCTTTCCTTATGCCTCGTGATACAGGTCGCAGAAAGGGCGCAAAGCACCATGGTCAACTATGACCCCAATGTACCGGGAATGGTATCGAGATGTTGTCTCATCCCCTATAACGCCCGTAGGTTGGCTGTGTTGCGTCGCCGTAGACATGTAGACCGTAGGGATCCATATGAGTCGCACGCCCCGGGGGACAATCCTCATGACCGGGTGTAGAACTGACACACCACATATCATACGGGGAAGGGAGTGAGGTAATAGCCCGGTTGAAGTTGTTATAATATATGTGTGCTAGTCCTAGAAGGTTACTAGCGAGTTATCATATATTCGATATTCGAGAGCAAGAGAGCGATGAGGGGGATTGAAACTACGATTTGAACTTTTGCTAGCTTAGGTTGGCTGATGGACTTGCCGTTATTCATATGCTTCAACATGTAAATAATTCTATCTCATTCACTTTACTTACACGTATCCCTCTCATTGAATCACGCTTAGTTCTTGTCCCATAGATGCTAATTACATGTTTCAAAAGTTATCCACCTCGGGGTGGTGATTAATTCACAGGCATGTAAGTGATAATAATTTCAAATGTACTGGTTTTATGTTGCCTGGTGTGATGAACATTGCTGAAGCCCCCTTGATTGATTCCCCAACTAATTTATCGAGCTTTAGTAAAGTGCAAAGTAGCCCTTGGGTTTTATTCCAACTCATTGCCCTCTCCCCCATTTTTGATTTTGCCTTCTCACTAGGGTAAGTTTCTTTCTAAGGTAGCGACACTGTTGTCATCATTGTTTACTTCCGGCCTTGGCCTCAGGGGTAAGCTGACTGCCCTTAATATGATATAACAACATCAAGGACCTGGAACATTCCGGCGACGTTGACACAATCACTGTAGAAATGAAAGACTATTATTATAATGAGAACTTTAGTTTTGGATTTTCTTCCCATTCCTTGCTTACTTCACCACTTGTCATATCCCTTTTTGCCCTCCCATTTTCCATTTCCTAGTTATAAGAAGGGAGAAGCTAAACGGGGGAGAACACAGAGTTCATTCGGCATCTTGACAGACATGAGAGAAGAGATGAAAGGTTCCAGCCCAAGTAATTACATATTACAATAGCCTTGATCCCCTGGCTGTGTAATTACCTGCATTGGGTGTCCAATAGCCAACCCCTTCGCGAAGCCCTGGCTGGTGGGATACGGTTAGGTGCTGTTTGAAACTCAAGACGGTTGAAGGAGAATCAACATGATAGAACGGGTGAAAATGCTAGTTGCGAGGATGATTCGGGCAACGAAAAAGCAATGAGCTTTACGTATCACAGTGCGTCTTGAGCCTCTCTCACTGCTCGCATAATGCTTCCCTATCCCGTCTAAAACTAGTGTTCGAATCTGACCGTTAATGTAATTAATAGGGTTTGCTTGTCCGACTCAACTGCTGTTGAAACAGTCCCTTGTTTCCTACACAATCTGTTAAACGATCTCCCCTAATGGGTATAACCACATCCTTCACGCCCACTGCCAGCCCAGATATCAAATACATAATCATACCACTCTCGCCCTCACTCCTCTGCGCCGTCGCTCTTCTTCGCAGGCGCCCCCTTCGCCAGCTCTTGCAAAATCGTCTGCTCTAGCGACTCCGGCTTCGTCGTTGACGCCCACCGTTCCTTGACCTGCCCATCCTTACCAATCAAAAACTTCTCAAAGTTCCACTTAATCCGCTTCAGCCCGAGCAGCCCAGGCTTTTCGCTCTTGAGCCACTCATACAGTGGGCTAGCATTCCCGCCGTTGACATCGATCTTGGCCAGAATGGGGAAGGTCACGCCATAGTTGAGCTGGCAGAAGCCCTGGATCTCCTCGTTGGAGCCAGGCTCTTGGCCGCCGAACTGGTTGCAGGGGAAGCCGAGAATGGCGAAGTCATCTGGGTGCTTCTCGCTCACCGACTTCCATAGCTTTTCCAGGCCGGCGTACTGTGGCGTGAAGCCGCACTTGGAGGCGGTGTTGACGACGAGAACGACCTTGTTCTCGAACTGGGAGAGCGGCAATTCCTTTTCGGTCTCTGGGGGCTAGTTAGTCGGAAACGGGGAAATGAAAAAGGGTGTTGTCGCAGTATGAAAGGGCACATGGTACCCTTTTATACTGTGACGGGTGTCATATCAGCTTTGGAAAAAACGCACTGTCAAGAACCTTGAAGTCATAGAATGTTGTTGCGGAAGCCATGGTTGCGAGAAGTCTTTGAGAGACGAGGTGTTGTCTCAAGTGGGGTGTGGAAGGTGAAATCCAGTTGAAGCTATGTCGCCGAGAAGACGAAAGAGAATTGTATCGGCGGGCGGATGCTGCTGGTTTTGGGATGGGGATGTGCAAGATGCGGGCTACAAGGCGGCGGGGGACTTGATTTTGATGCATGAGCGGGAAGTAGAGGCAACCTCGGTGAATGCAAAGATTCGAGGTGACTGTTTTAAAAAGAACTGGAAAGAACGACTGAGGCGGGCAGGGTCCAGCCTTCCGAGCCCCGGACTCCGACCTGATTTCAACGCAACAATCGACCTACCCTATTGGCTACTCGGCCGCTCCGTTTGTGCTCAAACGAGTGGGACAGCCGTAAAAGAGGGTTCACAAGCGTTTCGCTCTTGCGCCTTGCGACGACAAATGACGGCAATGCGTATGCGGCGAGTACTGGTGATTCGCCTTCGCCCTTCACATTTGCCTCGGCTGGCGTGGCCTTGCACGGCATTAGTCAGGTCTCGAGGCCTTTCGAGTCATCTAGACCTCAAGTGAATTCCCGCTTTTCCCGAGCACACGACCGCCTATCTAGCCCGTCTGAGCTTTCACTCGGGATTCCGTGATTCGGGAACTCAGGGTTCCGTTGCCAAGCCATCGCCAAAGCCCCTGCAGGGGATCTTTGGCGAAGCCCCACTACCGCTGCCCCACTGAATCCCGAGTTTCGATCTTGTGAAGACGAGAGAGATGACTTTGCGAAATGCATTTTAAGGTGTATAGAGAGGCGTTGACGGCATTAAATCCAGCTTATATTCACAAACTGGCTACTTTGATTTTTCTTTGAGTACGGCCAGGAAAACCCGCTCGGAAATGGGCTGCGATGGGAATTTGAAATACTCGACCCCACCACGTGGGCACCCCGCCATCGGGAGCTTGGGCCACAGCGGGATGACGGCACCAGCTGCGGGCTGTTTCGGGGACTTGCAACTGGTAACCATCCGCCAATGCCTCACCAACGACCGCTGCGTTCGGCGGATTGAACCCCTAACGAAATACATCGGCGCTGCGCTTCGATGACGACCTCTTCGTTTCCTAGAGCTTAATGGATTAGAGAGGACACCGTATCTCACCCCAGACACGAATCTAACCCTCACGGGTTGAGGCGCAACTCTTGTCGCAGGCTGCGAGCGCAGAACCAAAAATGGACTCGCAGCAGAAGAAAAATATCGTCATTGTTGGTGCGTCCAAGACCGAAACAGGAAATAGTTCTACACAGGGAAAGCGAATTTGGAATACTGACTCCACTCTAACTTTCCAGGCGGTGGTATCATCGGATGCACAACGGCCTACTATCTCACCCGTCATCCCAAGTTCAACCCGGCCCTGCATACCATCACGCTTCTCGAAGCCACAGCCATTGCCTCCGGCGCATCGGGCAAGGCCGGCGGTCTGCTGGCGCTATGGGCTTACCCGACCTGCCTCGTGCCTCTATCCTACCGCTTACATCGAGAACTCGCCGCCGAGCACAATGGCGCCGAACGATGGGGCTACCGGCGCGTGGGATGCGGGAGTCTGTCCGCGACCGTCAAATCTGCTGACCTGAAGAAGAGAGCCTTGAAACCGCCATTACCACCGACAGACACTAGCGGCAACGGTCACAACGGCAACAGTGACAACAACAACGGCGAGCTACCCATTCAAAGCACCATCGCTCTCGAAGATGACAAAACCCAAGACAAAGCCTGGGAAAAACTCCCCAAACAAGACACCACAGCCGCCAACCTCCTCCACGACTCCCCCCTCCCCCGTGACCTCGACTGGCTCGACAGCAACCTAATCTCCCACTACGAAGAAATGGGCACCCCCGGCGCAACCACCGAAACCGCCCAAGTCCACCCCTTCCACTTCACCAACGCCATCGCCGACCTCGCCCGCGCCAGCGGCGTTACCATCCGTCTCCGCGCACGTGTAACCCGCATTTTCAATACCGCCAATTCCACCGGCGACGGCGTGCACAGCGTCGCCTACGAAGACCGCGACACGGGCGCCATCGAGAACATCGACGGCGTGACTGACGTAATTGTCGCAGCGGGACCGTGGACGGGGAAGTTGGTGCCGCGGACGAGGGTGGAGGGGTTGAGGGCGCATAGTGTGGTGTTTGAGGCGGAGGTGAGTCCGTATGCGGTGTTTACGGATGTTCAGTTGCCGGCGGAGTATGTGCCGGAGCATAGGGCGCGGGAGGGGCAGAAGAGACGGCATAGGGGGAATGTGGATCCGGAGATTTATGCGAGGCCTTTTGGGGAGGTGTATGCTTGTGGTAAGTCTGCCCTGCCTAGCAACCCGTTTTTCTTTATTCCTTTGTAGTCTGTCTACCTTAGACATGCCAGCAAGTTAACACCCAACCAGGGGAACCCGACAAAACAACCCCCCTCCCCGCAACCGCAGACCAAGTCGAAGTCGACACAGCCCAATGCGACGACCTCATCTCCTACATCAGCACCATCTCGCCCACCCTCGGCGCGGCACCCATCAAAGCCCGCCAGGCCTGCTACTTGCCGCAACATATCCGTTTCGGCGAGCAGCGCGGCCCGCTGATCGGGCCTACGTCCGTTCCTGGATTGTGGGTCGCGGCGGGGCATACGTGCTGGGGGATTCAGAATGGACCGGCGACCGGGTATTTGATGGCTGGGATGGTGTTTGGGGAGGAGGTGGATGAGGGGGTGGGGAAGTTGGATCCGAGGAAGTTTAAGGTTTGATGGGGAAGGGGGGTGGGTGTAAGGAGGGTTGGGGTCGTTATTTGGGTTTTTTTTTTAATTATATTTTTTGCCTTTCTGGAATGATGATAGCATGGCATGGGGTTGGGAATTAGCGAAAGCCATATTAGCTGCGCGTTTGCAATGACTTCGCTGGCTATATGAATGAACCATATGATACTGGAAGCCTAACTCCAAGAAATGGACTCGTGTGTAATCCACAGCTTACCCTTAGGAAACCATTGGAAACTCTGTGCATGCTGCGGAACCCTGATGTCATTAAGTGCAATATATTCATTAAATAATCAGTTTGTACGCCTAATGCGCCAACCCCTTGGGGGTGTATGTACCCCGATGGAATGAAATGTCTCCCCCCAACTTATAACGCCTTCTCCAACTCCATCACCTCCCTAACCCCCTCCTCAATAGCCGCCACCTTCGCCTTATCCAACCGCTTCAGCGGCCGCCGCGGGTAACCACCATACCCAAAATAGCTCTGGATAGCCTGCTTGGTACCTGCAATAGCGGCCTTGGTCAGCACCCAGTCGCCGCGCGACAGCTTCTTCTGCAGTTCGATGGCCTCGGCCTGCTTGCCCTGAGCGTACAGGTCCCAGACACGCACGCACAGCTTGGGCATGACGTTTGCACCGCCCGCGATGATGCCGCTGCCCCCGCTGGCCAGCGTCTGCACGGTGAAGTCGCACACACCGCCAAAGGCCATGTACCCAGAGCCTTCGGACGCAGGGGTCTTGGCGTCGGTGGCCAGGGCCACGCGCGTCAGCTTGCCGGTGTTGCCGCAGGTGAACTTGGTGCCGACAATGTTGGGATGCTCGGCTAGGCGGATGAGGAGGTCGGAGTCAAGGTCGATGCCAGCTACGGCGCCCGGGTAGTTGTACAGGATGAGGGGGATCGGGCTGGCGTCGGCCACGGCGATGAAGTAGTCGTGCACCGCTTGCTCGTCCATGAGCAGCCGGAAGTAGGACGGCGGAAGGATCAGCGCGTAGTCGGCGCCTACCCCTTGGGCTTGCTTACACAGCTCGACGGTGCCTCGTACGCTGCCCTCGGTAGCCCCGATGATGATGGGGGTGTTGGCGAAGCCAGCCGCGTCGAGGGCCTCCCTCGTTGCTTGTGTCACTGCGAGCTTCTCCTCCCTTGTGCAGTGGATGGCCTCGCCGTTGGAGCCCATGGTGACAAGGCCCACCAGGCCGTCTCGTACGAGACGCTCGGCGTGCTTCTTGATGACGGGGATGTCGAGGTCCTCGGTCTCGGGGTCGAAGAAGGTCATGGTTGGGGCGTAGATACCGCATGGGAGCGGCCGGCGTGCCGGCGCGCTGTGGCCATTCGTGGCACCGTTGGTTGCCGTCATGATGGTTCGGATGTGGTGGTTGAGTTGGTTAACAGGGGAAGGGAGTGAATAAGTGAGGCAGGTGTGTTGCTGGGCTTGAGGAGCAAAGTGGGAAGCGAAGAGACGGTGAGAAGGAAAGGAGAAAGGGCACGTGGGTAGCAGAGATGGTGACGCTGAGAGACAAAACAGAAGGGGCTGTCAAAAGAGGAAAGTTCTCTGCTTATGAAGGAAAATCGGGGGTCTGGAGGTCAAGAAACGCGCCATGACCTAAGCTCAACCAGGGCGGCGTGGGGCTCGCGTTCTGGGTACCGGTGGACATCTTGTCCCACCTGTGGCCTGCGAGGAGCTCGAATCAGGCATTGGAGCAGACAGGGCAGGGGTATCGTCTTCAAAAGTCCGGTTTGCGGATCTCCTTGGGCGAGACTCCCGTCGGCCGACTGCCCACTTAGAAGCTTTTCACGGACGGGAATGGGGCTGAAACTCTGGGGACGATGCGGGAATACATGGCTCGTGGGTCCAAGGCGAGGGATTGGGAAGTACTACTCCACTGGAGAACATGGTGGGCTCGGTTCGGCAGCCGGGCTTGCTTCTATGGAGGTTGCTATACCGGGGTAATGTATACCTGTTCCAAAGCAGAAATCACGCACTGGCGCAACGGGGTTAAGACTGACAACAGCCCGGGATAGAGAGACGGGACGTCGGGGTTTTACAGCACGGGAGAGCGCTGGCAAGGGCCCGTTCAAGTCTGACAGCCCTCCCCAAGGCTATTCTAGCACGCGGGTTGCGGCCAAGCAGTTCCTGGTCTTGACTGTTGAAGTTCGCTGCCTTCATCCCAGCACTCCCCGGCAGACGGGACCCAGGAAAAAGGAACCCAGAGCCGTGGAACAGGCCAAATCCCCTTGATCACCGGAAGCGGACCGCTCGATCAGAGGGGGTAGAAGCCGGGGTTTAGGTGCCGGATGAAGTGATCGGCAAAACCGGTACCTGATTGGCCCACATTTGAAGCCGAGAAGGTGTGTAAGTGCGAATTTTTGGCCCCGCCTTTTTGTTGGAACCACCCATCAGCCCATCAGACGGGAGTCCAGCCCATGGTCAGCAGCACCGAGATATTGAATCGTCAAGGAGGGACGGATGATCGATGGCCGTTTGAATGGGAAGAAGGACCAAGGCGTTGGACGAAACTTCGCCCCGTTAGGCCCGGTTAAAAGTTGGCTGTGGGAAAACCTGGAAAAAAGATTCGGCCATGGACAAAGAGTTGTGAAAATCAGCAAGGAAATGCAGGATGCCGGTAGAATCGCGGGGCAGCGAAGAGGATAGCGTACCCCACGGGACCTACAGCCCGGATGAGGATCGAATAATTGTGTGTCAGCGCCGCCTGGACTGAGGAGGTTGCAGGGAGTGCCCGAGGAGAACGTCGAGAAGCTTCTTTCTTCGGCTCGGGTTGGTTGGGGCGAGGCCAACTTTCACAGTGAACAAGAGGCTGTCCACTACCCGACGAGAGGATGAATGGGAGGGGGGATGGATAATTTCCATCTTCAGCCCGCCATTACCCCGCGTTGGATTTGCCAGAAAACGGGCCTTCAACACGACCGTGGAGGGCATGAAGTCGGAAAGCGAGACGGGGGAGATCGTGTGAGTTTCGGTGAGAAACGGAAGATTTATTTTCCTCCAATCATGTTAAGCACTAGCAATCACCGGATGGGGCTTGTCCCAACGTTCCTTCCTCGAAAGACGGCGAACTGGTACTGGGGGAAGGAGCGTATGGGATTCACAGACCATGGTACGCCCGGGAGCTGTTCGTACAGAATGCTGAATTCAGATGTAGAGTTGATAGCAGTATGCGATCTCGACACGTGAAACGCGCGGTCCTGCAGTGTCCTCAACCACTCGGGCCAGCAGAAGCCGAAGCTAGGCTCGAAGTCGACGTTTGTGCAACGATGCTTGGCCGAGTGAGACATGACGCGGGGAAGCAACGTGGGGGCGGGTCTGGAAAAAGGTGGGTCCCGTCTTGGCTTCCCCAAACTCCACAATCCCACCAGTGGCAGCTCGGCCGGGAATTTTTAGCTTTTCCCCCCTGAATTGGAACATCAACGGCTGGAATTCACGCTCCAATTCAAATCTCTATTCCAGGAAGAATGGAGGAGGAGGAGGAACAGGCGATCAAGGATCGCAGTGGCATTCCAATGGGTCAAACATTCCACAAATGACAGCGCGAGGGGATTATTTTCGCTCGGGAAAAGCCTGCGGCTCTGCGTTTTCCGGGCCGAACTCGAATGGAGCTCGTCTCTCGTTGCTCCAATGTGCCCCTCTTTTCTCTCTCATCCCGACCCCTCATCATGAATTCTTCCGGCGTGGCACGAGGGGCTGTTCTGAGCCTGGTGATACTATGTACCTTGGTCTGAGGTTGTTTCATCTGAACACCCATCAAGCCAAGACGTTAGCTATTACCACAGAGAGATAATTGAACCATCGTATCCCTCCATTAGCTTCCCCCGGCTCCGTCTCGTCTCTCCCAACCAACAGCAGCAAATCAACATCAAGCCCACGATATCGTCACAATGGCGGCGCCGCTCAATGTGTTGATGGTGAGACCAAAAGGCTGAAAAATCTCATCATGTCCAATAACTAACACGGAAAGGTCGGCACAGGGGAGTACACCACCGGGTTCGTCGGTGGTGGTGCCTCGGGATCAGACAAGAAGGTTGGCGTGGTCGGGCTGACTCTATTCGACCTCCGGAGGCGAGGCAAGGTGGGCAATCTGTCGATGGCGGGTGTCAATGGGACAAAATACCCGGCAATTCGTGAGCGGCCACTCTTTTGTTCTACCCTTCTTCCGCATCTTCAGGGGGACGCAGCCACAAGCTACCGCAAGCTAACGCTGAAAATCTCTAGGGGATCATCTGCACAAGAACATCACGCTCGCATACAACAACCTGGACACATCCTTCACCTCCTTCCCAGCCGACGACGCCAAAGACCCCAATGCCTACAAGACAGCGATCGACGCCCTCTCACCAGGCGACGCCATCACCATCTTCACGCCAGACACGACACACTACCCAATCGCGCTGTACGCAATCGAACGGGGCATCCACGTGATGATCACCAAGCCAGCCGTAAAACTCCTAGAGCACCACCTGGCACTCCTGGACGCCGCGGCCAAGCACGGCGTGTACGTCTACATCGAGCACCACAAGCGGTTCGACCCAGCCTACTGGGACGCCAAGGCCCGCGCTCTCAAACTCGGCGACTTCAACTACTTCTACAGCTACATGTCGCAGCCCAAGTTCCAGCTCGAAACCTTTAAAGCCTGGGCAGGCATCGACTCCGACATCTCGTACTACCTCAACAGCCACCACGTCGACATCTGCGACTCTATGGTCTCCCAGCTGGGGTATGTCCCCGTCAAAGTATCCGCCTCGGCTTCCAAGGGTACCGCAGTCGAACTGGGCTGCCATGAGTCGACCGAAGACACCATCTCACTCCTAGTGCACTGGGCTAAGCGGGACGACCCAACCAAGCAAGCGACGGGCGTCTACACCGCATCATGGACAGCCCCCCAGCGGGCGGGTGTGCACTCCAACCAATACTTCCACTACCTCGCCCAAGGCGGGGAGATCACGATCAACCAGGCAAAACGCGGGTACGACGTGGCAGAGGACGAGGCGGGCCAGCTGGTGTGGTACAACCCGTTCTACATGCGGTACGCGCCGGACGAGGACGGCAACTTCAACGGGCAGAGCGGGTACGGGTATGTGTCGTTTGAGAAGTTTGTGGACGGGTGTCGGGCGGTGAATGCCGGGGAGCTGAAGCCGGCGGACTTGGACGCTAAGGGGTTGCCGACGCTGCGGAACACGATTGCGACGACGGCGATTTTGGAGGCCGGGCGGCGGAGTATTGATGAGGGGCGGGAGGTGCGGATTGAGAGTAAGGATGGGGCGTGGAAGCTGGTTTGAGTTGACTTTACGTTGAGTCTAATGTTGACCCTCTGCTGTATTTTGCTCTGCTCTGGATTCTCTCTACCTAGGTCTCAAAAGTGACGGGCAGCCTCAATTCTATCCCCACCTCCCCAAAAAGACTGTGCTTTCCCTCCCATCGTACAACCCCCTATATAGCCCCGTTTCCCACTGCTCCAGTCACCAGCTCCTCCCAATGTGCCAAACAGCGTGTTTGGCCCAGCGGTATTGGGAGGAGCATCGCCGGTGCCGTCGTAAATCGAAGTGGCCCTGGGTTCGATTCCCGGGGCCAGCGAAGAAAAATCTTTCTCCGGAAAGATTTTCGTAACCACCGACCGCTATCCTTCCGGATGGGGATAGGGTTCGGTGGTGAGCTGTTTGGTTTCTTTTAATTGAAACTATTTCGTTCTTGTTTAATTTCTTCCTTCTTTTTGGCTGCTCTTCTCTTCTTCTCGTAGGCTGTTTGTTGGTTGACTCCATCCGTAATGATTCTACTCCTGAAAGAGATCATGACTTCTGCGATCTCTTCGATTTCTATGATTTCCACTCACCTCTGCTCGAAATCCCCGAAACACCGCATAATCGCAGTGGCAAAGAAGGCTGTGATGATGTGTGGCCTAGCAGGATGCAACCGATCTGCACAGCCTTGCCAATGAGCAACCCCCCTTTTCTAGCCACCTAGCTTCTCATGGCTGTGTGTGCGCTGTGCCACCCCGCATGCTGCAGGACTCTGCATTACCTCGCCGCCCGAGGCAGCACCCAAACTGAACGGTATGAACTAGTAAATCGATGAGACCACCGATGATCTAGGGCTTGGATTGAAGGTCTCGTGGCTTTTTGTCGGATCTAGTTCTAGCTGTTTTGCTTTTACCCCTCGTTTTTCATCCCGACATAAACATCACAAGCTTCACATACATTTCGCAGTTATTTATTTACCTCATTTGATACCCGCATGATACCCCCTCCACACCCTAGCGACCGTGTTTTGAGTAACCCCTAACCCCCACCATGGCCGAACTCGGCACAATCGTAGGCGTCATCTCCCTCGGCATCCAAGTATCCGAGGGCCTAATCAAATACTACACCTCTTACAAAGACCGCGAGTCCGAAACAGCACACACAGTCAAGCGGCTCTCACACCTCCTAGGAATCCTAGAAATCCTCCGCAAAAATCTCGACGAGCGTGAATTCGACCCAGACGATGACGCCGACAAGAAGCTGCTCGGGGTGATGCAGCGGTCGATTAGCGACTGCGAGGACCTCATTCACGAACTGCAGGAGGAAAACGCCAAGTTCGCCACATCAGCCCGTGAACCGGGGAGTAATCGTGTGACGTCGGCAGTGCGCGCGACGGGGCGGCGACTGGCGTACCCGTTCCGCCAGAGTACCCTCCAGAAACTAGACGAGGACATCGACGAGATCAGCGCGAGTTTGACTCTCGCGCTGCAAGTGCTACAGCAGCAGGACCTGGGCAGCGTGCAGGATGACATCCGCGACACCAAGGCGCTGCTAGAGCTGGTACGGGCGGGCCAGATCTCGGCGGAACTCCAAACCTGGCTGGCCGCGCCGGACGCGTCGATCAACTACAACGATGCGTGCAAGAAGAAGCACCCGGGTACGGGTCTGTGGTTCATCCGCAGCGGGGCGTTCACCACCTGGCTGCGGACGGCCAACTCTTTCCTGTGGCTGAACGGGTTTGCCGGGTGTGGGAAATCGGTGCTATCGTCGACTATTATCCAACATACCATGCGCCATCGGCGGTCGAACCCGGCCGTGGGCATCGCGTTCTTCTATTTCACCTTCAACGACGACGCCAAGCAGGACACCTCGGCCATGCTGCGGGGGTTGATCGCCCAGCTTGCGTCGCAGGTTGGCGCGCGGGGGGGAAACGACCAACAAACGCAAGACGGGACGCTGTCACGGTTGCACCAGAGCTACCGCGGTAGCCGGCCAACTGACCACGCGTTGTTGGACAGCCTGCACCAGCTGGTGCAGGAGTTTGAGGACGTGTACATCGTGGTGGACGCTCTGGACGAGAGCCCGCGGCACAAGCATCGCGAGGAGGTGCTGGAGGCTCTCGGGGAGATGCGGAAGTGGCCCGGCCCGGAGCTGCATTTGCTGGTGACGAGCCGGGACGAGCAGGATATCCGGGAAGGGTTGGGGTTTTTGATGGGTCTGGATGTGGGCGCCGCGACGGACGAGCGGATTGTGTCGTTGAAGAATGAGTCGATTGATGGGGATATTGCGTCGTTTGTGTCGGGGCATCTGAAGGATAATCGGCGGCTGAGGAAGTGGGATAAGTACCGGGACGAAATTGAGCAGGCGCTCACCAAGGGGGCCAAGGGCGTGTAAGTGCAGGCTTTGTTTACCCCCGTATTTTAGCGCTGTTTAACCTCGGTTGTTTACTTACGTTCGTTACTTCTCTCTAGATTCCGTTGGGTTGAGTGCCAGTTCGCGGCCCTCGAAGCCTGTCCCGGGAGCAAGACCCGACTGGATGCGCTGCTCAACTCGCTGCCGCGCAACCTGGACAAGACTTACGAGCGTATGTTGGCCAACATCGAAGAGGAGTCGGCGGAAGAGGCCAAGCGGATCCTGACGCTGCTCTGCACGGCTAAGCGGCCGCTGGCGGTCGAGGAGCTCATTGACGGCATCGCGGTCGAGCTGGGGGACAACCCGCGCTTCAACGAGGATAGCCGGCTGATGGGCGAGGACGACATCCGCCACATCTGCCCGGGCTTCATCGAGGTGGACGCCAACGTAGACGACAACAGCGGCAGCGAGGCCACGGTACGCATCGCCCACTACTCGGTGCAGGAATATCTCGAGTCGACGCGCATCCTAGCCTCGGGCAGCAGCATGGCGCGGTACGCCGTGCAGCGCGAACAGGCTAACACCGAGGTGGCGGCCATCTGCCTGGCGTACCTGCGCAACCGGGAGCTGTGCGATGCCTGTCTGCGCCAGAACCTGAGCGCCTGGAAGTTCGCGCGCATGTACCCGCTGGCCAACTATGCGGCCACCAACTGGCCTGAGCACTACCGCGAGGGCCACGGCGACGACGGCGGCCTACACGAGCTAGCCCTTGGGCTGTTCCACGACGATCAGCTGTCACTCGTCAGCTGGGCCAACATCTTCAAATGGGGGGGTTACAAGCGTGATGGGCTCGGCGACCGCATCTTATCGCCGCTCTACCTCGCTGCCCGTCTTGGCCTGGATCAAATCGTGAGCGTGCTCGCCGCAGAGCTCAAATCTTCCTCTTCTTCTTGTCCTTCGTCATCTTCTTCTCCTTCTACTGCCTCTTCCCCTTCTTCCAAGCCAACAACCCTCAGACGCCCCCTTCGAAACGCCTTCGAACAAGCCCTAATCGCAGCCGCAACCCACGGTCACGCCAGCACGGTACACGCCCTCATCGACCACGGAGCGGACGTCGACTTCCAGGGCTTCGAAGGCACCGCGCTGCACCTCGCCTCGCGCCACGGTCACCTCGCCGCCACGCAGGCCTTGCTCGACCGCGGCGCGGACATCGAAGCGCAGGACTACCGTGGTAAGACAGCCCTCTACGACTCCGCGGCCTGGGGTAAAGAGGAAATCGTACAGTTTCTCCTTGACCGCGGCGCCCAACACACGCCCCTCGGCGCCTACGATACTCCCCTAGAATGTGCCGCGTCGTCCGGCCGCGACAAGATTGTCGCAATGCTCCTCGACCACGGCGCTGACCCCAACAAGGGCCGATACCGAATCCCGCTGGAAGCCGCCCGCGAACACGTCAAAGTCGTCCAGATCCTCCTCGACCGCGGCGCAGACGCGACCCGCGATGGGCCCGTACCCCCGCTACACGCCGCCCTGGAAGCGGGCACGGCCGACGTGGTGGCCCTTCTGCTCGACCACGGCGCCAATATCAAGCGGGTGGGCGGCATGCCCGCGGCGCTCCAGCGGGCCATCACCAACAATAACCAGCCCGTAGTCGAAATCCTCCTCGACCGCGGCGCCGAGGTCAACGTCCCCGGGCCCACCTACACCCCGGCCGAGGCCGCGATGAGCCGGCAGTCAGACGGCATCCTCAAGTTGCTTCTTGATCGCGGCGCGGACCCCAACGCGGGGGTTGTGACCACGCCGCTGGAACAAGCAGCAGCTAACGGTGACATTGACAGCGTGCGCGTGCTTCTTGAGCATGAGACGAACAAGGCGGACCCGAACCTGGGCAAACAAGAGACACCACTGGAGGCGGCCGCTGTGAAACGCGCGGCCGGCATCGTTACGCTGCTGCTGGAACATGGTGCCGACCCCAACCTAGGTCTTCTCCGCACCCCGCTCGAGGCGTTTCTTGACGAGGGGATTGAACCACGCAGTGTTCTGCAGCTGCTGGTGGATCACGGCGCTGATATTCACCGCGGGAAGGCCGAGCCGCCGGTGGATATTGCGCGACGGAAGGGGTTCAGCTTGGAGAAGATGGAGGAGCTGAAGGTAGAGATACGGATTAAGGAGGGAAAGGGGGATGGCGAGGAGGAGGAGGATGAGGGGATTGCGTTTGGGGATATGAAGCCGTCGGTGATGCCGTGGGAGATTACCAAGAGGGTGCTCGGGTTCAGGTCGAAAGACGTGGGGCCGCTGGGGGATGACTGATTGGGGAGGAGATTTGTGCTCGGCATGTCCCCGATTTAGTGGCGGCGGTGGATCGTGGTACAGCTCCCTATATACCCGGGGGACAGTCAATCCGAGGATTTGACTGTTGATCAGGAGCGTCCACTGCATGGCAGCCGCCTTACATCGCCCCGTACGATGGGAGCTATTACAACGTTATAAGTATTGGGCTAGTCCAGTGAAGAGGGGGCTAAATAAACAACGACTTACACGATCTTGGCTAACGACAAACGGACAATGTAAATGCGACCGATTGAAACACTATTGATTGAATGTAGGTAGGAAGAAGAAGGTCCGGGAAGAATAATTTGATAAGTAGGCAGATATGCGTGGGCGAGAGGCACTTGGGTTGGCAAAAAAAGGAAGGGACCATTAGCCAAAAACGAAAGGAACGCTGGTGATAACGGTGCCCACTGTGTACACGAGCAGGTTATACACGATTATACACGCCGACAGTAGCATCCAATCGCTCCTCTTAGAACTTCGAAGGATTACCCTCATAAATGAGACCAAACGTTCCCTCTTTGCTTCTTCAACGTGGTTACACTGTATGTACATCTCAGAAACTCATCAACTCAAATTCGAGGGCGTCTCTCAACGGGCAGGGTTAGGGTTACGAATACCTCACCCTCTCTCCCGATATGGCATGCTGACGCGGCAGGATCGTTAGTTCTCAGAATTTGAGGTCCTTCGATTACGCCTATCTGCAGAGATGATGCAGAAACGCTGCATGTCATCGCATTTAATCAGATAAGAAGATTCATATGTATGTAATACCTATCCAAAGAGAGACGTTACGCGTACCCGGCCGCCGGGAAAGAGCCCCGCTAAAGTCCGGAATACAGCGGCTGAGCACGCAAGCATCCCTGTATCTCGGATATAAACTGTTGAACCGAGGCGAGACAACTTGAGTTTCTTGGTCAATTGAGAGAGATCATGGAAATAAACTACTACATCATCTACTTAAGCGTTATCTGAGACCTAGCCCGTCAAATTAGAGAAGTGCAGTTCTTTCAAGCGTTAGCCAAGGTCAATGGTTTTCACAGAGATCCCTGGAGTGGGCCTGGAGTTCGGACGTTTTTGGGCGAACTGTTTTATTAGTAACCTCGGGTCAACTTAGTTGCTGCATCAATCTCACCTCACAACCTTTTTTTATCAAGGAGTGTCAACATAAGACACAAGCAGCCCACCGCCATTTCCATCAATCGACCGCTCAAGCCATCTCCCCGCAGAATCCGCCCAGCAAAAGAAATACACCATGGCGTCCACCGACGCCTCAAATCCCCACGAGACAACGCCCCTCCTCCAAGAACAACAACATCAACACGATGAAGAATCCCCCATCTCACCCGCATCGCCAGAACCAACACCTCAAGACCCCGAAACCGAAACCACGGTCCTCCCCACAACCCCCTTAACCCCCACCCGCCTCTGGCTAACCCTCTCCTCCGCCTACGTCGGCGTCTTCCTCGGCGCCATCGACGCCTCCATCATGGCGACCCTCTCGGCCCCGATCGCCAGCGAATTCCACTCCCTCTCCCTCCTCTCCTGGCTAGCCACCGCCTACCTGATCGCCAACGCGACCTGTCAGCCGCTATCGGGCCGGCTGACCGATATTTTTGGACGGGGGCCAGGTCTGGTGTTCAGCAATGTGATGTTTGCACTGGGGAATTTGTTGTGTGGGTTGGCGAGGGATGAGGGGGGGATGATTTTGGGGAGGGTGGTGGCGGGTGTTGGGGGCGGAGGGTTGATGAGTATTAGTACGTTTTTGGCGTCGGATTTGGTGCCGTTGAAGAAGAGGGGGGTTGTGCAGGGGGTGGGGAATATTGCCTATGGGTGAGTTTCCTTTTTTCTCTATTTTCTATTTTATTTTCATTTTCTCTTACCTTCTTGGGTAACCCCGATGCTAACCCCCTCAGGTCCGGCGCGATGCTGGGCGGCGTCCTCGGCGGCTTCATCAATGACACCTCATCCTGGGGCTGGCGGTTGGCCTTCCTACTGCAGGTCCCCATCATCGTCGTGTCCGGTTTCCTGGTGTGGTACCTCGTCGACGTCCCGCCCAAGGTCTCCAACAAGTCGCTCCTGGCACGCATCGACTTTGGCGGTTCCCTGTTGACCGTCGGCTTCTTAGTGCTGGTGCTGCTCGGCCTCAACGCCGGCGGAAACATCGTGCCGTGGACCGACCCCCTTGTGCTGGCTACCCTCCCACTTGGAGGGGCCATGCTGGCGGCTTTGATCTGGTGGGAGAGTAGGGCCAAGCAGCCTATCGTCCCTGTGCGGTTGCTCCTCGATCGGACGGTACTCAACGCTTGTCTTACTAGCTTTCTTGCGTAGGTTTTCTTTTTTCTTTCTCCTATTATCTTGTAGTAACATCCCCGCCTAACATGCTGACCGAACAGAACCATGGTCATGATGATGACTATCTACTACCTCCCCCTCTACCTCCAAGTCCTAGGCCACTCCGCGACCCAAGCAGGCCTACGCATCCTCGCCTCCTCCTTCGGCGTCTCCATCTCCTCCATCGGCTGCGGCCTCATCATGAAGCGCACCGGCAAATACGTCCGCCTCGGGATAGCCACACTCCTCATCTACACCGCCTCCCTCTCCTTCACCGTCACCCTCGACCAGCACTCCCCCGTGTGGGTCCCCTTCGTGGCCATGGCCCTCCACGGCGTCGGCTACGGCGGCATGTTGACCGTCACGTTGCTCGCCTGCATTGCCGCCGTCGACCACACCCACCAGGCCGTCATTACCTCGGCTACCTACCTGTTCCGCTCTGTCGGCGCTACCTTGGGTATCACCGTCGCGTCGGCCGTGTACCAAAATATCTTGCGGACTGCGCTGTGGGCGCGGTTTGGGGATCTGCCTGGCGCGGCGGAGGAGATTGAGCGTATCCGGGATGATTTGGGGGAGATCAGGAGGTTGCCGGAGGGTTGGTATGAGGGGGTGATTGCGTCGTTTATGGAGGCGTTTCGGGGCGTGTGGGTTATGGGTTTGGTGTTGACGTTGGTGTCGCTGGCGAGTATCTCATTGATGCGGCAGCATAAGTTGCATGCCAATTTGGCGAGGCAGGAGGAGTAGGTATCTGGTGCCAAAGCGCGATAGAAGGGGCTTCCATTTTGGATACTGGGCAGCGACGGCGCAGGACCGTTCACAGCCTGCAAGCGCTACTTGTATGGAACATCAACACAAATCTAGATCTTGCTAATATATCGCATCAATCTCACCATGACGTACCCATCCCTCTGCCCATTCGTTCTGATGCCGGTACTTAATTTGTCTCGAGTTCCTCCTTATCAATTGTTTACATCACCCCTTTTCGCATATGTGTGGTTAGACTAGAGCCTTAGACCTAGCATGTTCAGATTTCCCAGATAGCAAAGGATTTAGACCCCGAAAAATTTATTTACGAAAAGGAACTCGTTCTCTAATCGAGAGGGTCAATAAGATAAGTCCCTGCAGGACACAGACGTCAAATTTGGACTACGACGCTATGCCAGAACTTCCAAGCGAGGCCTTACATCTTTACTGTAGCTCAAAATATATTTAGAGACAGTGGGAATCAATGGTTCATAAGACCGCCCAAACGTACCACCACTGCTCCCGTCAACACACAACTTGCAAATCACCCGCTGAGAAGAAATCTGGTCAAGTTCACATTCATTCACATCATTAACTCAACACACCAACCCCTCTCCTAACTCCCCGATCCTCACTCCTCATCACTACTCTCCACAATAAACCCCGCTCTCGCCCTCGGCCTTGCCCTCACCGCCGTCTTCGCAGCTGGTATATCATCGTCCTCGTCCTCATCATCTCCCCCACCTGCACCCGCACCTCCTCCGACTGCGGCAGCATCACCCGCGGACGGCTTAGCCCCCTGGCCCGGACTCCCCGACAATGACGTGTCATTCGTACCCACGCCGTCTTTGCCGGTGGTGGTTTGTGTAGTAGACGCAGACGCCGACGCCGACACAGATGTGAATGAGTGCACGGGCTCGTCGATATCCATCGCATCAGCCTCGACCTCATCATCCGAGTCGTCGTCGTCGCTGCTGAGGGCAACCGCCCGCTTTTTCTTCTGTTTTGTCTTTGGTGGTGAGGGTTTCCTTCGTTTCGCGGGGCGTTTGGGAGCAGGTGCCGACTCAGCATCCGATGAGGCGTCGTCGTCGCTATTATCTGAGCCGGTGCTAACTTGGTCTTCATCCTCGTCCTCATCCTCATCGCTATCATCAGACAATGATTTCCTCTTCCCTCCAGCGGTCTTGGTTTTACCCACCACCGCACCAGCAACATCCTCCCCCACACCTGCCCCGACCAACTCCTCCCACGCCTCAGCCTCAACACCCGAAGGTTTACTGCTCAGCCCAAACGTAGCATCCTTCGCAGCCTGAAGCTCCTGCTCACGGGCAAAAAAGGCCCGGTCCTCCTCTTTATTCCCTTCCCAATCCGAGTCGTCCTCCCGCAGGTCGACGTACATCTCACTCTTGATCTTGCGCGCCTTTTCCAGCTCCTTCTTGCGGCGCGCGCGCGCTTTGGCTTCGCGTTTGGCTTCCGCTTCGGGGTCTTCGGTTCCATCTTCGTCGTCGGCTCCACGACGACGGCGTCGCTGGAGTCGCCTTTTGGGTTGTCCGTCTTCGGCAGTGCGTTTGCGGGCGGTTGGTCCGCCGGCGGGAAAGAGGATGCCGGTTCCGTCGTCGTCGTCGGAACCGTCGTTGATGAGATCGTTGATGCCGTTGGCGTCGGCATCGGCGTCGTCGTCGTATGCGACGCGTTTCCGAGGAGCGACCTTGCGGCGGAGTTGGTCCTCGGCTGAGCCGCCGTCTTCGAAGGTGGGTGGGCTGAACTCGGCTTGGTTGATGAGGGAGAGGGTGTCTTTTAGGGCGTCGGCGGTGAGGGTGCTTGGTATAACCCAGATTGAATCGGGGCTCTCGTCGAGGGTTGGTGCAAGCCGTTCGAGCCCGGCGAGTTTCATGAGTAGTCGGAGATGGGGATTCTTGAACAAAGCTGTGCGTCGCGCGTCGTTGTCTGGGCGGAGGGTCGTGTGAGGCGCATCTTTGGGAGCTGACCCTTCGGCCGATGCGTCTGCGGCTTCACCCTCCGGTCGTTCGGCAGTCAAGGCCTTCTCCGCGTTCTCCCAGGCGCGTCGTTCGCTTTCGGCACCGGAAAGCTGCTTCTTGATCCACTCCAAGTGATCCGTTTGGTTCCTGTCGATCAGAACACCAACAACAATGGCAATCTGCTTATCCCGCTCCTCCTCACGTTTGAACTCGAGCTCGGCTGCCGGCCTGGGATTCGACACCGTCTGCTTCTCATGGCCGTACTCGAGGTAATGAGCCGTGCTGTTGATCTTGGAGAACAGCAGCTCGGTAAACAGCGCGGGCCGTTCCTCGAGTTTCTTCATGCACTTCCGAATAACCTGCTTGGCGAGCTCTTCCCACTCCTTGTACATCGAAGAGTTCTTGTCCAGGGGCTCGGGGCCTTTGATCATGTTGTAGAAGAGGTGGATGATGTCCAGACGAAACAACATGACACTCATGTCTTGTTTGAACGCGAGCCGGAAGAAATACCGATGGGCCCGCTTCAACTGATCGTCGTCGAGGTCCCGGTAGTACCTGGTGAAGGTAACAAACGTGTCGACTGCGCCCTGGGGAATGAACCGTACGGCAAACCGCTTGAAATCAAACTTCCTCTCTTGGCTTGTCTTTTCGGCTTGCCTCTCATCATCCGCCGAGTCATCCTCAGCATCGTTTTGGTCGTCATCTCCCGCATCACCCTCGGCACCGGCAGCCTTGGCCGCCTTCTTCTTCTTCCGCACCCTCTTGCGAGAGCGGACTTGCAGGTCGACGTTTTGTTTGGAGTACGCCTCGAGGATTCGCACGAATGTATGGGTGAGCTCGGTGCAGGCATCCAGGTACTCAAACCCTTGGTCCTTGTACGAACGAACAATGTTGGCGATGGCGTCATGGGTTGTTTCCTCGTAAAACAGGCGGCTGAGAATGTTGTCGGCAATCTCCTCGTTCTCCTCGTTGCCGGAGCTGTACATCTCTTGGACCGTCAACAGAATCTGAGTGAAACAGCGCATGACGGTGGTCAGGAGCCGCCAATCTTTGTCGCCGTGCGCCCGGTCCAAGGTGCGGCTCAAGGCGATAAACATTTCCTGGTTGAGCACCTCAGCCACCAGGTTGAAGCTCCCCACATCATCTGCCGCCGCCGCCGCTGCTGCAGACTTCTTCGAATCGCTCGCCTTCGCCTTCCTGCGCATCCGTTCCGCTTCTAAAAACCACGAGATCAAATAGAAGAACTGGCCGTGGTGCGACTGCAGAACGTGGGGCGCTTCGCGGTCGAGCGACTTTCGCACATGCGCGAAGAGGGGGTTGAAGCCGGAATCCAGAAACTCAGAGACGAAGGACTGTAACTGTTGGCGAGCCCGTTCATCGAGTGATACCGGCGGTCCCAGATCTTGAGGCTCCATTTCTTCCTTCCGGGCACGCCTTGGTGCCCTGAACTTCTTTGTGCTGTCCATCTTCCGCTCACGGGTGGCCGCATCAAGTAGCGCATCTTGACCCGACACCGTCGCAAGTTTCCCGCTCTCTCGCTTGACCCAGATCATCGTCCCAAACCGGCTGTGACGGGTTGGCGCGTTTTTGCTGTATGACTTCAACATGGCCGCCTCTTTCTTCATCGCCGCCGTAAGCTCGTCCTCCTTGATCTTGTGCAACCGTTTCTCGCTGACGAACAGCTTGCTCGAGTCGACTCGCTTGACCAGGTGGAATAAGATCTCCATAACAATCACGTCTTCCATCCGAAAGTCCTCGCCCATGTTCGACGCAATGGTCAGAAGAGTCAGGAAGATGTCCTGGAACGAGAACGCGTCGATGAGTGCCGACCGGGAGATTTGCGTCTCGTCGCCTTCATATTTGACGCCCGGCGGCGGGGTGATTATGGCGATATTCCTCAGAAAATACAGAACCAGCTTGATGATGCCCTGATCGCGAGCCGACCGATCACCGTTCGGCATAGCCATCGACGGCAACGCTACCCTCACGGCGGTGCTAAGAATCGGTGCCGCATCAAAGTTGATCACAGCGCGTTTGTAGCCCAGCTGGGAAAGCTGCAGCGCAGGTAAGTGACGGTAGTGGTTGATGGTCATGGTCTCGCGGTCTTTCTCGATCGGCCAGGTGAGGGGCACCATCAGTTCGAAGCAAGCCAGGGCGATCCGGGCCTTATACTTGCTGTTTGCGTCGTTCGGGGTCCATGTCGCCAGAATGTGAAGGAGATCGGAGCCGACAATGTTGGCTTCGGCGAGGCAGCGGGCCACGTCCATGCGGTTCGTCTTTTCGTCGTAGAAGCGGATCCATTTCTTGAGATCGCGGAGCACCTCAAGGGCGTCGTCGCCAAGCTTGTAGCCCTCATCGTCGTCGATGCCGAAGCCACCGAGCTATGCCGTATTGTCAGCATGCAACCGAGGATATCGTTGGGCTCAAAACCATGGGCAACCTACGGCCGACACCAAGCTGTTGATGTGTGCCCGAACCTGCGGGTGTACTGTGTCGTTGCTGATCTCGGCGTCCTCCATCGTGGGGGCGGTCACAAAGGCCGTAAATCCTGCAGAAGCTGAAATTATCTTGACATGTGTGCTAAGTGTCAAAAATCAAAATCTTGTATCGACAATTCGCAGTGTTGACATTAGGCGTGGTGTGTGGTGGTTTGAACTTCGAGCCACTCCCGCTTGGTATGTACGGCGTGGACAAACGCGTCGAAATCAATTAAACAAACGCAGCGCGACGCGTCCCTTGCACTTAATCTCACAGTGTTAATCACAGTGCCTAGATGGCGCAAATTGGCAGTTTCGTACTGTGTTGACACTGTATTTCTCGTTCGGCGTGCATGTGAGCTGGCGCCGTTGCGGCCCCACTACGTCAGTGCTCCATGGCCGAGGTTAGCCGCTTCCGAGTCTCATTCTTGACCCACCCCATGAGAGCTCCGGTTCACTTAACTACTCTTCCTTGCGCTCATAATTGTGCCTTCCCATCGCAGTAACAATGGCTGCTTCAATGATGTCAGCAAGACAGGTTTTCCGGCTCTCCAGCCGTATGAGATGCTTCAGCTCGACGGCCGCTCGGCCTGCTGCTGAGGTAAAGCGGTTGGGAGTGATTGGCGCGGGGCAAATGGTACGGACAAACCCTTTTGTCTTTTTTCCTTTCTTTTCCTCTTTTTTCTTTTTTATTTTTTCTCCTTCTTTTCTTTTTTTCTTTTTTTTTCTTCCTCGTCATATTGTCAATGCTCTCGCTTGGTCGCTCACAGTATACTCTTTGACAGGGTCTCGGGATTGCGTTGGTAGCAGCTCAGAAAGCCCAAGTTCCAGTAACCCTAGTCGACTCATCATCAGCATCTCTTGAAAAGGGGTTGGCCTTTGCAGGTTGGTTTAACCCAAGACCGTCACCCACAACGAAACTGGCCAGCTAAACACCACACCTCTCGTGTCATTCACTTGTAGAGAAGCTCCTGGCCAAAGATGTCTCCAAGCAGCGCATCACCCAAGACCAAGCCGACGCCGCTCGCACCCTGCTCACACCCAGCACCAAAATCGAGGACCTAGCATCCGCCGACTTCGTCATCGAGGCCGTCCCCGAGATCCCCGAGCTCAAGTTCGACATCTTCGGCAAACTCGCCCAAATCTGCCCCAAGCACGCCATCCTAGCCACCAACACCTCGTCCATCTCCATCACCCGCATCGCCGCCTCCACCACCGGCGGCAACCCAACCGACACCACCAACAGTTCCCGCGTCGTCTCCACGCACTTCATGAACCCCGTCCCAGTCCAAAAGGGCGTAGAGATCATCTCGGGCCTGCAGACGTCTGCCGAGACCCTCGAGACAGCCGTGGCCTTTTGCAAGCGCCTGGGCAAAGTGACCTCCGTCTCGGCCGACTCGCCGGGGTTCCTCGCCAACCGAATCCTGATGCCGTACATCAACGAAGCCATCATCTGCCTCGAGACGGGCGTCGGCGATCGCGACTCCATCGACGCTATTATGAAGAATGGTACCAACGTGCCCATGGGGCCTCTGCAGCTCGCCGACTTTATTGGTCTCGATACCTGTCTTTCTATTATGAAGGTTCTGCACACCGAGACTGGGGACTCCAAGTACCGCCCTAGCGTGCTTCTGCGGAACATGGTTGATGCCGGGTGGTTGGGCAAGAAGAGCGGCAAGGGGTTTTACGACTATTAGAACAGCCACTGGAGTTGGGGCTGATGCTTGAGGGTATCGAGGCGAAGTTTAGAAGATGCATCATTTTTGATGCCCCTATCCTCCCTCCTGTGACTCTCCGCTAAGCAGCACGGGGGATTCACGCCCCATCAACAGGCGTAAAAGAACAATAAAATAGAAATAAATAAAATAAACACGACATAACACGGCAACGGCAACGGTATCAAAATGTAACCTCAACTCCTCTAGATCGCGTGGATCTCGACGCCTTCCAAGGCAGATCGACAGGGGTAGAACAACTGGCAGGCTGACCAGGCCCGACCGTTGCGCTATGATATCCCACTTCTTCAGGTGCCATGGTTCTAGTTCACATGTAGATAAGACAAACACAAACTTGAAATGGATTGTACATGTACAATATCACGGATCCTCAACTCATTAAACTAATCGGTGCAAACCCTGTATGTTGTTCACCTTTTAACCAAAAAACCGCAAGACATCCCTCCAATATCACACCCCACACACTCCTTGTCGCCCGAGCAAATACCGAATACAAATAAACCGGCAATACTGCAATCAAGAATGAGAAACAAAGGAAGCAGAATAAAAATCAAGAATCGGAACAAAAAGCAAGACCCAAAAACCAAGAAAACCACCTCCATTTCACCCATATTACCTCTCCTGCGTAATTCACCCGGTTCCCCATATTCCATCTCATCCACACAAACGCTCATTAATCAATACTCGGTAGTCAAGAAAATTGAGCGACATTTTGACATCACTACGACTTATTATTAGGGGTCCGTACCATGATGTCATAAACACGGGGAACCTCCTCTCTTTAGGAGAGCAAAAATCAGAACCGGGACCGTGACGACGAAGGTGGAGTTCCTACGACCTATTTTGCCCTAAACCATGTGTTTAATAATCTTACATGGAGAGTCACGGACCCTGGAGAGAACAAGTGCACCGATGCACTAGACTCGGTGACTGAGACAGTACCAGCCCGTTCCTATTCTATCCTGTCCTCGGCGGCCCCATGCCGGACCGGCCAGAGGGGAGTCTCCAAAGACGGCGAGGAGTGAATGCCGAAAGAAGCTCAAACCGGTTGCTAATTCCCAGTATCCCGAACCAAACCACCAAAGAGGAAACCCGAAGGCGAACCAAATCTCTTGTTAGTCACAGAGACAACAGACTCGTTCTAGACGTCCATCGTGGCAAATCAGTCAACAACAGGCCCGCATCAACGTCGGAGGCCGGGGTATGGTAGACGAGGAGCGAAATCCTCCGAAAGAGCTGTTTACTGGTCCGCATTAGTATGGGTGTGTGTGTGTGTGTGTGTGGATGGGTGGGTAGGTGGGTAGACAAGTGCACTGCGACGGCTGTCTCTCTTCCCCTCTTCTCCCTCTAGCCAGTTCTTACCCCGTCACAAAGCCCCCGCGACTATCCCGGGCCGACTGAGACCCCCGGCGCCCAGCACCGAGAAAATAGCAAGCATGGTTCACCCAGACCATCATAGCCTCGAGCGGATCGGCCGGATGGCCGGGCTAGTTTCGCTCGTGCGATGTTGCGTGTGAGGAGAACCCCCCCTGTAAACCGTGCTTCTCCGACTTGCCGACGCTTCCTACCGCTGTTCATAACTATAGGCTCGCTAGGCCACGCGGGGGGCGGGGATGGGTGACTGGGATCTTCTGAAGGAGGGCAACAAAGGGCAACGGAGGGGCCTGGTTGGATGGATACATAAAGTGCGTTGACTGAGGATTGGTAAGGTGAAAAGGTTCTCCGCGTTCTGCAGTCATGCTGTGCGTGTGCCGCCCGCTATGAGGGAGGGTGGGCGCTCTAAGGCCGGCAATATAAAATTGATTGCTCCAGACGCTTTTTGACGGACTTCGAAGGTACGGGGTCCAGGAGGCTCGATCGGACTAGTACCGTCCCGGAAGACCCCGGCCAACAACAACGGCCAAATGCTGTTTGGGAAGCTTTTCGTCTTTCTATGGCCCCGTGACGAGATGATCGAGTGGGGTCACGCCCAGTTGTGATGTGATATAGGGGGTATATCTGCCATTGGGATCAGGGGAAACGCCCGCCTGCCCGGAGGTGTCCGGGACATAACATTGCACTAGTCTGCTGTCCATCAGCGTACCCACAAATCTGGCAGGTCATGACGGCTCGGATGCAGATCCGTGACTTGTTTAACCTGCATACGGAACTGGGAGCTCGATTCCTGAACCGGGAGGTTGAAGAGGGGACCAACGCCATCTGACATGTACCTACCTATATTGTTCCTAGTAACATGTCTGGGGAAAGCACATGTGCATGTTCCTCCAAAGCGTGGAAGACAGTTCCGTCCAAGGAAGATGCATGGCGGCAAGCGCTTCCTTTGAAGAAGCCGTTACCGGCCCAGCCCTCCGCATCATCCCGCTTTGTCTCGATAACGCAACAAGGTCCGCCGCCCCAACCGGCTCTGAGTCCAGCATGTCTACCTCCGCCAGCAAAGCCAACAAGCGACGTGGCGTGGAACGCCATGTGGGAGAGAAGAGAGCGGTGGATGGCGGCGTCAAACGTCCTTTAACGTGGCGATGGAGTGTGCCCCAAGCTCATGGGCGGTATTCCCAGGCCAGTGTAGGTCGTCAGGTCACCGATGGGTGTGCCAGACGAGGCTCCCCAGGCCAGCGTTTTTTCATGCTCATAGACCGCAGTAAACATCCGAAAGCCGCGAATTGGGGGCGCTTATAGGTGTCTCGCCCCCCATTTTACCCGCCGGGATGTTCCAGAATCGGGAGGGTGGCCGGCGGCATGGAGGCTCGTTAATACCGAAAGCCTCCAAGAATAGAGAGTTTGAGAGCCCGTTGTAAAGAAACAGGAAGGAATTTTGCGGCCCGGTGAACAGCCGGAAGGCCGAGATGCGTCGGGGATCAATCACAGGAAAGCCCCGCTCGTCGTTGTTGAGATGGTATCACTAGCGGAAGGTCTTTAAGCTATCAGCGACTCTCGTCCTGCGACACCTGAGGGGAGTTCTTATAGCTCTTCAGAGTACGAGTACTGCTGTCGTTCACTTCGCGCACACGATTGTGCCCGCGATCGGCCTGCCCTCCTCCAAATTCCTAGGCTGATCCAATGCCGATGCGAGAGGTTTTCTGCATTTGTGTCAGGACTCGACCCGCCGGTTCCTGCCTGTAACACTATACAGCCGAGAACCCAGACGGCACGTGCGGCTACAAACACCTAGAGGTGAGCCGCTGGACCGGGAGAAAAGCGTTAGGAATCGTTTCGAGGGTTTGTTGTCACCTGATGTGATGGCTAGATTTAAGACTGCCAGATCCTTAATCTATGGTTTCGGCGCATGAGTGCGCTGGTCCCTCAGACAACGAGGCGCGTTTTGGCCAACCTACCCATCCTCGGGTCAATTCCTCGGAGTAAGCATACCGGTGAAGTGCTAGCATATTGACCTATGGCGTTCACTGAAGGATAAATCTGGACCAGATATCCCCACTTAGCATGATCAGAATCGTCGACTTCCGTGTGGCCCTGACGATCGTCGAATTGGCGAGCCTATGGTAGCTGACTCCGGCCCGAGTCACCACAATGCAGTTCACGGCGGGCTGATATTAATATGCGCTTTCTGCACATACCAAGGGGCGAGTCTCGTGGCTGGGGGTGGCTGATGGAACTTGGACTACTATGCATTTCAGTGAGATCATTCACCTAGCAGTGAACAAGATGAAACTCACCAACGATGGAGGATCTTAGGGCTACCTAGGTGGAGGGGTTCTTTTAGCCGTTCAAATATCGGCGGAGGAGTTCTAAAGAATTACCGGAAGCTCATCGTGGACCCTGCTAGAGAAGGCAGAATCGGTAACCTTACGGGTCGTACGATAAGCCCATAGCACAAATCACTCGGGGCCGCCGAAACAAAGTGACTCGAGCTTGTAAGGCCGAACAGCTAAAACATTTTACTGCATCGACGGGTCTTCGTCGAAGAGAGGAGCCGGCGGGCCGGACGTTGAGATGGTGTGGCACTGCATAGAGTTGGGAACACGCCCTTCTGCATGAGTGATATCCATAGCTCCCGCATCGCCTACGCCTCCTCTACCTTGAGCGAAGCTAATAACCAGGAGTCGACCCTTTCCCCAGGAGTTAGAATGAGTTAGAAGGGGCTCTCCGAAACATCCTAAGGGTTGAAAGATGCAAGCCTGGTGAGGGAGCACATGGTCAAAGGGTCCGGTATGAGAGCCCAAAGATCTACTCCGCAGGCAAACCCCAATGCGGTGTTCCCATCTGCAGAGCCCAGAAACCACACCGGCGGTGCGACGTTCGTATTTGGTGTCCGGGGATGCGTCCGACCACCCTAGCGCCACAATGAGTTGATGGCGTGGGTTAGAAGGCTCAGGTAACGGCAAGAGTTGGCCGGCTTTCAGCTGCGAGGAGGGGGACCTCTTCCGGTTTGCTCGCGCTTGGATTCGACCATCATGAATCAAGTTAAGAGTGTAGTGTCGTCAAAGCGAATGATCTGGTGTCAACGGCCAAGAACACGAGGCGTCAAAAGCCTGTTCGTCTAGGTGGTGATTATCTGATGAGCTGGACAGCTCGTTTCTAATATCAAGGGTTTCGAGCGTTCACGAAACCGGCCGATGCTAGTTGCTCCTTGTTCAAAGCGATGAGATGGCAGTTGGTCCATTAATATAACAGTCGTTCCTGCTTGGAGGCGCTCTGCCTATTATGAGAGCCCCAGAACCAGCTTCCAAAGCTTATTTCAACGCCTTTGTTGACGTGCGAGGAAGGCAAGTTGGGCCTTCGGTGTAAGCTGTGTGTCGCGTGTGCTTCCAGCTTGATCGCGTCAGCGGGTTGAGATGGACGGAATCTGGGGGCGGGTCGTGCAATCTGGGGGAGGCGCTTCGACAGTTGCGTTCCCGCTTCAAGGTTGAGGGTTGCTTCGCATGCCAAGAGCAACCCGTTTCGCCTGGCCGAGAAGAATTCATCCAGAGAAAGACGTTGAGGGTGTCGAAGGACGAAAGCCGGGA